CACATTTGTTCCAGGGTGAGAGATGACTAGAATTACTAAGGGACTCTTTATCAGGCAGATCTGTGTCCAGCAAAGGCAGAGATGTAGTGCTTTCCACTTCCAGCACACACAGAGTTCCCATGCTCTCATCAGAGAAGAGGACACGAGATGATATTTCGGTTCCCATAGTCAAATCACCAAAAGAGTGTTCACAGAGGTGACTTCCATGGCACAGCTAATGGGACCAAAAGCTACCCTTTGGTAAAGGGAGGCCCTTTCTCACAGAAGATGAAACCGAGCGGGAGAGCTGGCTGGCATTGCGCAATCTGTCACAAGGAGACACAGACAGGAGACCTCCCTGGTGCTGTACGTGTGCAGCCGGGGCAGCCACCCGGCGATGGCATGTCTCTCTTCAGAGGGCAGAGGGACCAAAGATAACCCCAGGCACTGCTCCAACAGCTCTCACCTTACCTCATCCCATGGATTCCTTTGCAATCAGCATAACAGTGTTCTGCAAGCTGGAAACATCATGTAAAACCTTTGATCCATCCATTCTTCACCTAAGGGCAGCAGACAAATCAGATGGCTTCTCCTGATAAAAGAAAGGAATTCATTGGTTTTTTTTCAAGGCAATCAGAAGTTCATTACTAGAGTTGTCCAAATTAAAGCTCCAGTTTCATCACCTCCGTTCCTCTCCCTCAGCCCAAATAATCATTGGACCATACATCATTACAAATTGTAGTTTAATTGCTAAATTATGTTTCACTAAATTTAGCCACAAAATCTGATTTTGAAATGAAAATCAGTTTTGTTTCAACATATATTTTAAAAGTTACAATGTTTTGACTTTTCCAGTTTGTTTCTTCCCTAGTTTTGTTTTTACTGACTGCATATTTTTCTTTATAAGAAAAAAGAAATCTCTTTCTTCATTGTCCCTCTTCTGATGACAGAAGGATCTAAAGGAGGAGTGTGGAGAAGGACAAGTAAACCTTTTTGATATAACAGGTGTGCTCTTGGCTGTGGGAAACAGCTCCTTGCCACACTTTGCCTTATCTAGAGGTGTCTCTTATGACATATGTCTGTCTTCTCTACAGGGACTTGAAGTCTATGCTGGTTACCAATGAAACCCTCAGAAGCTGCCAGCAGTTCAATAAGTGTCTCAACCCGTGAAGTGTAATACTGGCTGACATGAATTCAGCTGAGATTATCCACTCTTATTACTGTAATACCAAAAAGGTATGGGCGGTGTGGAAGGAATTAAAATGTAGAAGCAAGAAGAGTTGAATTATAAGACGAAAGGGCTGCGAGTCCTTTAAGTCACCATAGAAAAAGCTTGTGTGAGGACGGATTTATATCTGAGACTTATCTGATAATAAACACACTGCAGAAAAGGAAGTGAACTATGTGATAGTGTTATAACACCTGGAACTAGTGACAGCAGGACTAAAAAGCACTGAACTGGAAGCAGTGCACGGGAGCAGGCTTCCTGGCCAGAGGACTGGGGTTCAGTATGAATGAGTCCAGAGCTGAAACCAGAATTCCTCTTCCAAATAAAAGTGAGCCAAAATACCAAAATGCCCCACAAAGCAGACATTCCTGAGAAATTACATTGAGCAGTTCTGTCTAAAATAATACATTCCTGGCTTAGACTTGTCATTAACCCTAGACTGTAAATGCAATTGTATGGTGTTTATTTACATGATGCCAATCCACAGCAATTTTAGTTCTGTGTTGTAGATCATACCGTTGCTTCAGTGGTTGGTTTTGGTAAAGCAACCATTAAGACTTTTTAGATATCTTAATGTATCTTATATTAACCTTTAAGACTTTTAGATATCTTACCATGAATTGGGTATGGTAGCTACCACATAATTTCCATAAGCTGTATACATATATATAAATCAACGTAAATGTGTCTATTATTTTATTTCCTGGAGTTACTTTTAACTGCATTTTACTACACAGCAGTTAGTAGTTTTAGAGGTTAGCAGTTAGCCATTACAGACGCTTTATTTCTTTCTTCTAACTAGGTCTTGATGGTTTACATTAGATTTTGAGAGCTGTTTACAGTGAAACACTCCAAAAAGAACAACAATTGTATAACACATATGCCTCAGTGACATATGATGGAGCAAAATCTGAAAGAAGGGTTGTAACTTTTATACATCTGCTGTTTTGATTTTGGCTATGTATACCTTACAGTGAATTCCCGTATGTAACAGAAGAGATATACTTTCATTGGTATGGCTGTAAAATCTTTTCTTGGTTATGGATACAGGTCTCTGCAAATCAGTGGTGAATTCCTGTATGTAACAGAAGAGAAAATATATACTTTCATTGGTATGGCTGTAAAATCTTTTCTTGGTTATGGATACAGGTCTCTGCAAATCAGTGTATGTCCTCAGGCGTAGCTCCCACTTTTGTAATGGTCTTTCAGGAGCAGTGCTCTTTTTGCTGACAGACTTCTTCCAGACTCTGACACTGCCCAAGTAATTCTGGACATTTCATGTTTGTTTTGGACACCTGCCAGTCATTATTATTGTAAAATCTGTGTGGTCCCTACTGTCCACCAGAAACTGGGATATACAGGCGAGAGAACTCTAGTCCTGACAAAATTTCCCACCTGCTTTTCTTCTAGACCTGCAAAGACAGCTTCTCTTTGGTTCCTAAAGCTTCAAGACAATTTCTGTGCCACTTTTTCTGCTAGAGATACCAGATGTAGTAAAGCTACATCCATGTCCTATTTCTGTAAAGTCTCAAAGAAATAGGTAATTTTTTCTGATTAGTGAAAACCAGACTGCTGATTCCTCCCCCACTTAGGAAAACAACCAAGCACTGACTCAAAACATCAGGCACAAAGCAAAGCTGATAGGATCTTCAGGATGGGCAGCAGGGGTGAGGGGCAGCACTCCCCCTCCCTCTGTCATGCGTGCTTTGCCAGCTGCAGCATTTACAGCCACATTCTTGATCATAACAGCAATCTCCCCCCTCATCACTTAGTGTTAGCATATGGAAAAGGTGGCACGCATCAATCTCTCCGATGAACTGCTTAATATTTTGCGCTGGGCATGCTAATATGCTGACATGTGCAGCATCCTTTTTGCCAGCCCAGTTCC